TCAGATTTGAGATTGGATTCTTTTCTTTCGTGCTCCTTCTTCATGCGATCAATCTAGGAACATGACAAGACAAGGCTTAGACAGTAATATGATATTGAATGACCAGACATTCATTTAATCACATCCAGACTAAAATAATCTGCCCCATTTAGAAGATATAGAGACGCTTGCCAAATGTGTCTTTCTAAAGTGCAACTTATGCTGTTATGCAAGTCCAGGTAATTAAGCACAAAATGGTCCAACATCAAATGACTTGTCAAGATAATCTATTACTAACATTTAGTGTTTCTGCACCACATACCATTATCCTAATGCTTCTAAGTTCTAACACAGCTCCTACCTAGTTCAGATAAAGATTAGGGTCAGTTGTACGCAGCCCTATGGCCCTATCTACACAATAACAAAGAGGCTTCTTTAGACCTTATTTGTTATAGCTGCAGTTCCTGACTGAACCTTGAATGGAAAGGCAACCAATTGGCCTACTACTACACACAATCAATATCAAATAATGGCACGTTTCATGAAATGTTTGATTTAGTCCATCTTTATCCAAATTCAAAATTTAACGCATCAATGATTTAGCCAGATTAGTTGTGAATGAATTGTATGCGTGATTTTGCAATAAGCAGACAGAAATTGCATCCATAATAATCAAGCAAATGGAAAATAATAAAAAAAAAATAACAGCATTTTGTCCGGATACAGGTATTCAATTGCATTTTGACAAGACAGGAGAATCATTTAATCACTACTATATTGGTTCAACTATGAACTGGTTTATTATTTTTAGCACATACCTGAGCGATATGCTCTTCTTGGATGCGAGCCAAATTCTGCCTTGATTCTTCATTGCACTTGTCAAGTCTTTGCTCACAAGCCCTTTCCATCTCTGCAACAGCCTTGTCTGCCTAAAAAGTAACAAACAAGCAACATCATTCTCTAAATCTATTCTATCTTCTAGATATTGAAACAAAACAAAGTAACAATTCCTCAAATTTATCCTCAAAATTAACCATGAATGTTGAAATAACAGTTGCCAACCTTCTCTTTCTCAAGATTAATGATTTCTTGCTTCTCAACCTCATACTTCTTCCTGATGTCATTTATTGCCTTTATGACGGCACCCAATGTCAACAGAAAATGCCACAAAAATTTCTGATGAAATAATATGTATCTTGTGATATCCAGGGAAAGAAGATACTACTTGATCATTCCTCTGAGAAATCTCCTTCAAATGCCTTGACAGCTCCGACTGTTTAGACTCAAGCATAGCATCATACTGCTTCTTGGCTTCTCCAAGCTTGCCTTCGGCAGCTGCTAACTGCGCCTGAATCTGTGAAAATACTTCTGCGATTTACATGCGCATCCCAGGGTTCATAGTTATTTCATCCAAAATAATAATTAACAAGACAGTTTCAGAAACCTCTGCTTTTTGGTTGTCCAGTTCCTTCTCTTTGTCCTTGTATTGCAAGATGAGCTGTTCCTTTTCCTCCAGAGTGGAAGAAAGCTTGTTCACTTGCTCCTCAAAAGATTTCACCTCCTGATTGATCTTCAAAATCTCCTTCTGCAAACCATCAATTTCATCCTCCTTTTTATGCATATCTCCCTGTAGCTTCTCCATGTTCTCCGTCTTTTCCAATTCTAGCTCTGATAATTTGATCAACAAATCTTTCTGCAGATTTACAAATGGTCATTGAGATTATGACTTATGATGCTAGAGAAAAACATAGATCATCATAAGCTAAAAGACCTTTTCATTCTCAGATGACCCTAAGCTCTCAGAAAGATTGCGAACTTGCTCCTCTTAAGTCTGCAACCAACTTTTCTGCTTCAAATTTCTTAGAAAGAAGAGCCTCTACTTCAGACTCTAACGTTCGTATCCTCTCTTCTGATAATCGACACTCTTCAGCATGCTGCACCATTGAAGACTCATGTGCTCTCTGAAGCTCATCTACCTTATCCTTTAATCCCTGATTAACTGATTGAAGTTCATCCTTTTCTGATTTTAACTGCAAGTGCTGGTGATGCAGAAGACCATACTTCCCTTGAGCACACTTGGCAGTGAAATCCTTCTCCTGTTCAGCCAACTTAGAAGCTTTATCATACACAGAGCAGAGCTGAGAAATCTTGTCGGAAACAGCCACACTGTGCTCATCCAATTCAATCAATTTTGAAGCGAAAGCATTAACCACATCCTTAAGATTCTGAGTCTCCTGCACTGATGTTGCTAATCTTTTGACAAACTCACTATTGCTGGATTGAAGATCAACTTTCTCCCTCTCCAAGTTTTCAAGAGTAATTCTCATCCGAGTAAGATCCTCTTCTTTCAATTTCAGTTCTATACTCGCATCATCAAATTTTGACTTCAAATTTTCACCAGTCAGTCTACTTGTGGTAAGGTCAGCTTCAAGGCATTTTATAAAAGAATCTGCATGCAATACAGCGCATGTAAATCCTCAGTAAGCAATATCTCATTATGAAACTGTTCACTGAATCTAAAAGTGTTTATACCATTCAGGAATGGCAAAGAATTACACAAGACCACAATCCACACGTAACAATTATAGACTATTGCAATGCATTAAAATATACAGTAAAGCAAGTAAACAATAATAGAAAATTATGGACTGAACTTGTTTGAGTTATGAATTTGAAGCTGTCGATAACAAATTATCTGTTCTGTAAACTATTGATAAGGTACTTGCAATAAAATCTCATTTTAAATTGACAAAACAAGCTTATAGCTTAGATAAAGTGACAATACAATATCCACATAAAATCAATTCAATTAAACTAGATGATATGCCTCTACAATGTTATACAACCACTTCACTTCATAATTACACGAAAATTGAAAATTGGATGTATGAGAGGATCATATAAATGTTGTATAGCTTTTGATTACCTTTTTCCTCCATAAGCTTGGTAGTTTTGGATCGTACATCTTCATAAAGCACCTCTCGTTCCTCTTTCTGCTCTTTGAGTTCCTTAAATGCCTGGTCACCTGGGTACAAAATTCAAACAAAACTGACATTACACAAAAACAATCATTATCATAAGCATAATGTTAATTCTAACAGGTTCAGAAGCTTACGTTCTCTAATTTTTTCCTCTGCTGAATCCAATTTAAGAGATAAACTCTTCACTTGATCTGTTGATCATTCAATGTATCCAATGCAGCCGAATTCGCAGTTAATTTTTCTCCAATTATCCTTCTCCGCTGTTAAAGTAAGCATGATTCCAGTAAGAACTTCGAATAGAATCGAAACACAAGTTGCGAAACAGTCGAAAATGAAGGTATTCTTACCATCCTGAACTTGACAAGCCAACAGCTGCAAAGTTTCACTGAGTTGATCGCATAAGGTTTTCGTCGAAGAGAACTTCGATTCGAGACCTTGCCAGTGCTTCTCATCTTCTTTCTGCTTCACTTTCAGCTTCGCATTCTCGTTACAAGCTGCTTGTAGCTTCTCTTCCAGAACATGAATATGCTCCAGAGATTTCTTCAACTTCGAATTCTACAAAATTTATCAAAATTCAAGGTTGAAGCAAATTCTTCAGCATTTCACTAATCACAACTTCAGAATTGGACTAATCGTAAAATTGAGAGAATAATTACCGCTAAATCTAGGTCAGTTCTCACAGACGCTTGTTCCTTCACCAATTTCTCTAAAAATCATCACTATTAGATTGAATTCAACATCATAAAACGGTGAATTTCTGAAATTCAGATTGAAAATTAGATGACGAACCAGCAGTGAGCTTCAAGCTCGCAAAACCTCCTGAAGTAATTGAATCGGAAGTTGAACGTGAAGAAATTGATAAGGCTTTCGCAGTTCCTGAAGCAGATCTTGTTAAGGATTTGAATTGATCCAAGCCTTTCATGCCGAAAAACCCTAATTTTTGCATTTTGAAGTGTCGGAATATCGCTCGATTGAAGCTTTAGGCCACAATTAGGTTATGGCAACCTCGAATTTCTGTAACAATGGCGGACGACAAATCCGGAAACTTCGAGAATTTACAGTTTTTCACTGTCTTTCGCTCTTTCTCTCAAAGTTGTGAGAAGACAATGAGTATTTGAAAAATGGAGTTCGCGCCATGTTACAGTATTTATAGGTTTCGTTTCGCGGACAATCTTTCTTTGTTTTGGCCTTTTGTGGATCATTGAATGGTTGGTTCAATCATCCAAATGAAATAAGAAGTGATTAAGTGAGTGTAATGAAATGAATAATTACTTTGTCCAAAAAAAAAAAAAAGAAATGAATAATTACCATACTTACCAACAAGGCAACAACTAGTTAGATCATTTGGTGAGGGAACTATTCTAGGCCTTGGTTTGTAACTCGGGAACACAACAACATTTATTGAGTATAATAGGCTTTGGATTATTGGGTATGACTCCATAAAATTTTAGTTAAGTGATTTTTCATTCTAAAGACGATCTTTCTATCACGAGCTATAACTAAACATTAAACAGGTCCTATATTATTCTTAAGTGTCATTAACTTTAAAGTTTCTATGAAAACTTCTACATTAACTCCTTTCATATCAAAAGCTTGTTCTTTTGATTAATGAATTTTTATTTTTATTTTTAATCTCTCCACCACTAGTAGTACAAAAAATCTAAACATATCTACATGACTACATCCATTTTCATATTTGACCACTTTTATTGCGTGACTAATAATATTGGTGATTGGCTCATTGGGATTAAGTCATTTATGTCCATTTCAACCTTAAATACAGAGTAAGAAAACAATAGGCAAGAGAATCATGTGGAGTTGATATATACGAGTACAATTTTCATTGATCCCTCTATTTTTTCCTGCTCACTTTCCCACTTTTTTTTTTTTGCCGCAATTCTACTTTATTCCAATTTTGATAAACATGTTTTTTTTTACCATACCATCTTACCCCCTTTATTCCAATTTTCTCAGCAAAAATGAGAAATGATTTAATGTAAAAAATGAGTGCTCATCCTCCAGATGAATCAAGAAAGTTGAGATACCAAAAATTCACCTGCTTCCCATTATTATGGAAAATTATTGATTACTATTTGCAAAATATGTCTATCTAGGTCACACAGTGTGATACATCCACTCATCTTTTGGTGCAAAAAGAAAAAATTACACATACTCAACTCTCAAGTCACCTAAAAAGAAAAAGAAATAATCTCTCTTCATTATTGAGCTTGAATCTTCAGCAACACAATCATTCCGCTTTCTTCTCGGTAGGAACTATTTCTTTCAGCTTTTGCTCCAATTCACCCGTCTACAGAGGAAGAGAGTGTCAAATCACAACTCAACTTATTAGCAATAGTAGGCTTGACGATGCAACGAGAATTTACCTGGTGCATGTTGAGAATGATATCTGATCCTCCAATGAATTCTCCCTTGATAAATATCTGTGGAAAAGTAGGCCAGTGGCTGCAGAGAAGAGCAAAGGGTCATCATACGGATAAATTACTGTTTGAAACAACTATTTAATGTGAATAATATACAATGCAGATTTTCTATTGTGAAAAGTCTCGGTGATAGTATGATGGTTGACAACCTCCTGCTTAAGAGTTAAGAATTAATAGCCCCAAATGCACATTAACAATAGATGAAGCAATGACAAGTTAGTAAAAGAAAGGATATTAAGACACTGAGCTCAAAAACAAAGCAACGACACAAAAAGGAGAAACCTAATAAATATATATTGTTTCAGAAGATGATCTAAAAAGGTAGTACTAGTTTGCCCGCCAAAAGCCTTGATACGCCCATCATTGTAGATGCTCTTAGGTTGCATCATGCTTGCCTACATGCAAGTATCCATGAGAACCATTATACAAGGTGTCCAACATTGCTAATTGTACAGCAGTTCACCAAATGTCACACCCCATTTTTATTGCTACACTCATACAAGGAGGTAGGTGTGTAACTCAAACACTCATGCTCACGACTTATGCCCACATGGGGAGGAGGGGAGCTGGTTCTTGCCTATGAAGCACAGAAACATCTGGTACCCTGCATTTCAACATTTCTCAAAGCATTTTCGCAAATGAAATATCCCCAAAATAGGTTGGAAGTGAGCTGGGTTAGAAAATTTTCATCCACCAGAAATATCTAAATAAGCTAATGACTGAATCCAAATTACCCCTTCACAAGAGATGTTACCCTACCAACTTCGCAAGAGATGTTACCCTACCAACTTCGCAAGAGATATTACCCTACCAACTTCGCAAGAGATGTAACCCTACCAACTTCACAAGAGATATTACCCTACCAACTTCGCAAGAGGTACTTTCCATCTACCCACACTCTATTTCTCTCAGTCAGTTGCTAGAATGCAGCATCACAGAGTATTACAGATTGCTACCAAAAAGCAATTTGAGTTGGCTGATTGCATCAGAGCAAAAACGGTCGTCTCTGGGGCAGGCCGGTAGAGGGGGGGAGGGGGTTGGTGAGAAACTATTACATGAGAAAATAGCTGACCAACATGAGGTAATATCAGAGTTCCAACATGCCCAGAGATGAATGTGATGTTGAGCACATGCAAAGGGTGAGAGTGTGACCTAGTTTGCATTGAGAGTCCAATGTTGGAGGTATATAGCAACCATGAAAATATGTTATGGCAAAGGTTGCCTGCTAGCAAGATTTACCCGGAAGGACAATTTGCATGCATTGAGGGTGTGGAGGTGCACGCTTATAGAATGGGGTTGGAGCCTGTGACTATGAGGCTGGATAAAGAGTTCACAATTCACATACGAACATACATACTCCTTTCCACATTAACACTTGATGCTATCAAGAACAGAAAGCTTAAGCAATGGTAAATGACTAGTCACCAAAGGTGTTCCTTATAAGTTACAAGTAATTCAGGAAACATGTGAAAAGATTCAGCAGATAGTATTGTGAGGGTTGAGTGATGGGGACAGCAGGAAGCTTATCAGTGACAGTGATGTGAGGACATGCCATTGGGATGTGGAAATTAGGAAGCAAACAATATTCTAATTGTAGGATCAATGATAGAGGTCCTAAGTGACAGTGGTATTGTCTTGTCATACTTATAGCTCATAAAGTACAGCGGAACAGATTCAGAGAAACCTAGGGACATTATTAGGGGAACCTGTCAATGTCCGCTGGATAGCCGTTGAGATTACATATACTATCCTTATCCAAACCTAAAAGTGTTTCCAAAGCCAATCTATTTAAGCTATAATGATCACATTAATAACCAATCACTTTGTCAGCAATTACAGGTGAGACAATAAAGCAAGGAATTTAAGATTAATGATAATAACACCTGACAAAAAGCTGATCCAACAGTATTGAAGGATCAAGAAGCCAGGATAGCAGCATCCTAACAAAATAGAGTGACAAATATGTTTTGGAAAAGCTCAATTCAAAACTCAGAACGAAGGCAAGTGTCAAAGTGAACCCATAGCAAGTCGAGCAACCACAAGCATAACCAATACAACGTGAACCAGATGCTATAACATATCAGTGAAAAGTTGAACACTTCAAAATGTAAATCAAGCTATATCATGTATCCTGAAGAATTTGTGAAAAGTAGCAACTCAAACTACAAAATCAATAGGCAAAGCACCTGTAGGATTTGACAGCATCCTTCAGCTCCAAGTCTTCCAAGATATTTCTTGAACCAATAGGAACACCTGCACAGCACACATTAATGAGCAGGAAGAGGAAATCAGCTTTCTAGACAGGTCTTAAGGTAATACAAAAAGTTACAAAAAATAACAGCTATAACCAAGAACACTACAAAGGAATAACTGCACTGATGAAAATATCAGGAACTATGAATAAACCCTACAACCTTACTAGCCATCTTTTAATTGCATTCAATGGGTCAGTGGACGATGGAAAAATGTTTTTACCTTCAAAATGCAACTTTATGAAATCTTTTTTTACATGGATGAATATTAGACGAATTTTCTGACAAGGACAGATCAACAGCATAAATACATACCAAATTAAGGTATAATAATTTTAAACATAGGAAGAGAAGCTTTTGCACTTGGCTGGTATGACCTCACAACATTACTCACAATGCTAAACAACGCCATGTCAGCAACAAAATCTTAATAAGAATAGATGTATGAAGAAAAACAAAACACGAAAATAGGAAAACTATAGCTAAGATAAGAAAGAGAATCTAGAGCTTTCATTCAAATTCCCAAATGTATTAAAAAAAAGGGGGCCTACAAAAAAAGCTTAATATGACTATACATGATATACAAGACTGACATATAGCAAGAGAGATAACAACAGAAATCTACATATAAAGGAACATTACAGTAAGGTCCCATATAAAGTTTGGCTAATAGAACAATCGGAACCTATTCTTTGACTTGATGACAAGGATGCAAGCCAAAAGTTTCATGGGATAACTGAAAATAAGCCAATACTTAGCTTGCTCAGGGTAGTTTTATTACCGGTTTGTCCTCCCTAATCCATTAATAAGGAGTTTTTCTCAAGATCATATATAAAACTAGCTCCAGCAATTATGTTCATAAGTTAACCTCACAAAAAACTATATCAACATTTTAAAGGACCTCAAATTGCAAAAAGACACATGTCTGGTAATCTGGTATGGTGCATGAAAGCAATTAAAGAACAGATGTGAAGAAATGTCAAATAATCAACCAAAAGTAGATAACTTACGATACTCCTTCAATACCCTCACTGCGAGAGAGCTGAAACCGCATCTAGGCATTTCAGGATTTCCCTTCATATAAATCATAACTGGATTCTCCTTCACATCCTAAAGATACCAAGAAAGAAGATGAATTCAACATAAGATTTATAAGCTAAAAGATACAAACCCTGGCTAAAGAGATGTACATGTGTAACAAAGTTAATATATAAATAGGAACAGGAAAAGGGAAAAAAAAAATACCTGATCAACAATATCTTTGACAGAAAGAGAACTCTCAACCTTACTTGTTGGCCTGAAATCTTCATGTGTATCAGGATCATTGGGCGAAGTAGTTGAGTACTTCATTGCATTTTGATATGACAACCCAGATACCTAATACAAATGAACACTTGAACAGTCAGGAATAATCCTCACATCCGAACTTGATCTGAATAAACTCCTCCCACACCTCTATAGTAAAAGTAGAAGAATAGAAATGTTTCTCATATTTGATAATGCATCTAATCAGACTTGATATTCACCAGCTTAACCTTGCCTTGATGAGAGGAAGGCAATTCTAAACATATTATAAAGGTCTATTTGTTCATTTTGGGGATGGTAAAAGTGTCCAAACTCAAAATTATAAGTAAGCAGACAAATGAACTGCACAACTACCATTTTTTCAATAAAATCATTTAAGTACACCCCCAAGACAGAACTATAATTCCTACCTGGTTCTAAATTCCTCAGAATCACCAAACAACAATCCTCACTATGGAGCCAAGTTAATGTCGGACTATTAATGAATGACCCAATCCAATATGAGAAATTAGACACTCTATGGTTGGTCTTGAAGAATCATTTAAACCAAGAAATCCAAACTTCCAAATATAAAAAATGAACAATTGTACTTTAAATCCTTTGCCTTTTATTTCATGAAACTTCATTGAAGCAATAAGGCACATTAAAACGGCGCTATTGAAAAAGCAAAATTGTGACGTTGATTCATTACCACAGCTCTAATTAGCTAGCATTTATGAGATTGTTTATGAATCCAATCAGTTAACAAACAAGAGATCAAAAATTAAATTATACTTTGTTATAATTTAATTCATCATCCCAAAATTACACATACTTAAAACCCTTACCCTTACATCCCCTTATTAAATTCCATCCTCTTACCAAGGAATTGCTGCAACAACCGCTATCGAAATATCGTAAACCAAACAAACAAAATGAGGAGGGCAATAAGATCCTTACTTGGGCGCTCATACGAGCAGCCGAAAAATTAGTCATGTTCCTCAAAAACATACTAGATAATGACCTCGCCATGATCCCACAACTCTGAATACACCCTTCTGATATGCTAAATTGCAATTTCTGAATCATACAAGATAAATAACAAGATATGAGCTAATTAGCAACAATAGTTCATTTTCAAATCAACATTCAAATAACAAAACCCAATGTTAATTAATTGCAATCATATAAATTAAATCAGGAATTCATGTAAGCTAAAAATTCAATTGAAGAATTAAAATTTCAAAAGGGAAAAAAAACAAGGGAGAAGATACGAATAATCAAAAACTTGTGGAACGCAGAGTAAATTTCAGGTATGAAAAAATTAGCAAATTGATGAAATTGCAGAATTAAATTTAAGAAAGAGAAAGAACCCTAGTTTTATGAGTGAAAGAATGGAGATATTCTTCGGTCAAATGTGCTGATTTATAAAATAGGGCTTACCACGGAAGTCGTAGCTTCTACAGAAGTGCGCGGTGGAGGTGTGGCGGTTGCAGCGGCGGTGCTGTGTGCGAGGGTTTGGGAGTCGTGGTGGTGCCGGTGCGAAATGAGATGGGAGGGAAGATGAATAGTCTGGTGAAACAAGCCAAAAAGGTTCTCCTTGAGTTCTAAGAAAAAAGAAAAAAAAAATAACGGTTTAAGTTATCCTACGTGGCTACGTGAGTATGTGACAGGGGTGAGTAAAAATTCCGGTACTTGAAAGGCCAAAACCCTGATCAGAATTAATTTAATTGTAACGATTCTGAGAGTATGAGTTATGTTTTAGAAGTTGTTGCAATTTGTTTTGGTTCTAATTTTTAACTATTAATTCACAAGTCAGTTGGATACTAGGTTATTCGACAAATACTAATATACTAGTACGAATTAAGGTATATACGTGTCGAATGCTCTAATGGTTGAAAGTGCTAAGAAGAAGATGATTGTTTGCAACATTTTAATCAATCTACCATGGGGCTGCTCAAAAACCTTTAATGGAGCTAATAACCATGAGATTATCTCCTTCATTATGTATTTTTTTTATACCTTGGTCAATTGCGACAAAGATACCCTTATAGATGACATATGTTTTAACTAAAAAATCTTTAAGTGTTGCCAAGGTTGAAAGTGCGCATGCTAAAAGGTTGCTTCTACTATCTCAAATGATGATTCCTAGTGCAACTGAGTTTGAAAGAATTGTTAGGTGACACCTTTAAGATTCTATAGTTGCCCGGAATTTTCTTATAAGTATGTCTAATATCTATGTACAAAATGTGTTTAAATCTATTCTTAAAAAAAAAAATCCAATATTTATATTTTGCATCAGAGGCTTAAAATTAGTTATTTTATTTAAAAAACAATTAGATCAGAAAAATAAGACATTTATCCATTTCCTTATGGCCATTTTTTTTATGCTCACGATTGGAAAGCTAAAATACCATTTATTTTCACAAAATTCTGCTCATAGGCAAAAAAAAAAAAAAAAAAAAAAAAAAAAAAAAAAAAAAAAAAAAAAAAAAAAACGAGTGAGAGTGCTCTAACAATCTTCTCCCTTTTCTTTCTTACTCAATGCCTACCTTCGTTCCTTGGCTCTACAATACAACCCTTCTCACTCTCCGGCCGCCATATCTCTTCGCCGGCATCAATTTCTCGACCCCTCATCTGAACCATCCAAATTCTGCAATCTTTATACAACTCTTTGTATCAATGGAAAAGAGAAAGTTGAGTGTTCGGGATGCGCTGCCGCCGCAGCCATGATCAATATTGTTGTTAATTTGTTATTAGTATTAATTGCTTTTTCATGTTGATGATCAATCAATATAATGCCTTTAATTTTTGGTTCTTGTTTTGTTGTTGATTGAAGGTTTGTATAGGTTCATTTAGCAATTTTGGGTTTCTTTTAATCCAACTAATTGTGAATTTGGTGTATAGTATTCTGTAGAACTGTGATTAATTTTATCTGTGACTTGGTGCTGGAAAATTCTAATATCATGGCCTGAAATTGAGGATGACTAATCTTCAAATAGTTATGTAGTGGAATTGATACGTTACATCCAAATTGTTATGCAGTGGAACTGTGGAAATTATATGTTGCATGATTGCAAATGCTGTGGTAATTGGCTGTATGTTGTGGCAATACGTTGGCGGTGTAATGAAGTTTAAGAGCAAGCATTGGCTGTTATTATCATACCTTATGGTCTATAACTCTATAAGCCTCACATGTGGACTTGTTATGGGCTAGGCTTTTTCGATAGTTGATACCGGTTTTTGTAGCACAGGCCACAGCTAGTTCTAGTGTCCTGCTGACAAGGGGTATTGCTGTGTGAATTATTGATGTAAGGAGGTCCGGTACTGAATATTCCTGTTTATGTGATCCATATATGTGGATGTTGTTGTAGAATATTTGCAGTCATTGTATTAGGACAGTGTCAAAATGCACAAGTCAATGAGTGTGGTACAGTTCGTTCTTCAACCCTAGCCCCCTACAAAAAAAGTTCATCTATTTTTTCATATTATGTTCATTCTTCTTCAACCCTAGCCCCCTTCAAAAGAGTTCATCTATTTTTTCATATGATGAGTGCTAGTCTGATAGCCTCATTTGGCTGTTAATTATTTGAGAGTTTGAGACTATCAGCTATACTTGGTCCTTTCTGACTCACATCCCTTTTGGTGTTCTGAAAATGGTTCAGATTTTTAACTGTTACCTGTGTCTTTCTTTGGGTCTAAACCTTGTTGACTTCATCAGTTTATGAGTGATTTTCAATGTCTCAGAACTGTTGTTGCCCTGGAGACTGAAGCTAGAATATGTAGTTTGTAATGAGCAGAAAAACATCTCGGAGCTCATCAGGACAGTTGTTGTTTCAGCTCCCTTTATGGCTTTTAATCTTAGTGCTTAAGGGCTTCCTTCCATCCATTCTCAAATGTAGTTTTCCATGGGGTTTATGATATACTTGAAACTCCTATCTGAATTCACCTTAAGGAAGGGAAACGATGTTCCAGGGGCAGGATATAACAGCCTTGAGTCTACCGGAATTGAGCTGTGTAAGAAACTAAGAACCTTACTGTATGGGGCTATACCTGGTGCTTGTGCTGAAACTGTTACCTATCCATTTGAGGTGGTCAGGGGACAGCTTCAAATGCAAGTTTCATGGAGCAAGATTGATTACTTTGGCAACTTATATTAAGATAGTCAAGCAAGGAGAGATTTTGGCTCTCTATGCTGGACATCTTGCCAGTATATTCAGGTATAAATATGCTCTTTCCTAATTCCTACTGCTAATCAGTAATTTTTTTTTTTTTTTCCTTTTCTGTCTGAGCTTGTAATTAAAGAATAAAAAGAGACAATTTTGAGCTAGGAAGTGAGAATAGAAATCATGGAACTTGGTCATATTATTCTCTTCCTTTCTGGAACCAAATCTGATAATTATAATGGCTTGGACGGAAATTTATATGTGGCTTCACTTCTCTCCACCACCCAAATATCTGTGCTGACCGTGGAGAATGAACTGTGCTGAGTAGTTTACCTTAGTAGTATTCAAGTATTGAAAGAAGGACAATACTTGTCAGAAATAGACTAATAAATTTTCTGTAATCAGTAAGTTCATATATTGTTATTAATATGTAAGAACCCAAGGGAAAAGGCTCAAGTTTCAGAATTCTTGTGGCATTAAGCTCCACTCTGTCCAACTCCATGCTCGCTGCCTACAAAACAGTTGTATAGACTATCGAGTGAGCATCATGTGTACATGATAGGAAGCAACAAACACTAATTAATCAAATAATGCTGCATTAGTTTCCAGCTTGAAGTCACAAATTCATATGCAGGATGATTTCCTGCTGTTGAAATCCTTCATTTATTCCCTCCATATTTCATAGACAGCTTCAGCCAAGAGATTCTTTATAGTCTTCCCTTTAGATTTATGCCTTTGCAAAACTTGACAAACCCCTGTCATTCCTTGTTCCAGGTCACAAACTTTTTGTTTAACTTTAATTTTGCTTGATAATTCTGCATTGGAGTTTGTTGGAAATTTTTACTTTGAAAATTAAATGATAAAGTTTAATTCTGTTTTGGAAAAATACACACAAGTGATTGATTTTGGTCATCTCATATTTCCGCACCACAGTTGATCAGAAAATTCACATTGAATAGTCGTGTATTGAGCAGCGTTATTCTGATTCTTAGCAAAATGTGCGCCAAGGATTAACACCCAATTCCTTCTCCTATATCATAAATCTACATTAAAATTTAAATTTTTTCCCATGTTTCTGACAATGGTTAAAGATCATCATCTATTATATGGAGTAATAAGACTTCCCTTTTCCACTATCTCTAGGCAGCCGGGAGTTTGATGCAGCTTTTCCGAGTTCTGCCAGCCTCCTGTCTTTGAGATAGTCTTTCCTGGCACAATCTGGTACCAAGTTTGACATCAATACTCAGGAAAGTTGGCTGTTGAGCCTCTTGTACTGCAATGTCCAAGAATTTATAGGCTTTAACATGATTACTAGTGATAAGAGTAAGACAAAGTATTGGGGATTGTTAGTTTAGGAAATCAGCTTTAACATATCCAAGCTCTTGCATCTTTCCTGTAGTCTTGAAAATTCTGTCAATCTTACTACAGGTAGGAGTCTCTTGTTCATGCTTTCTTGGTCATTGCCATCCTGCACTCTTAAGCTCAGTCATATTTTAAGGATTGACAAGACTCAAAATTTATTATATCATGCAAAGACTTAGATCCCAGTTATTCCATCTTCATATGAAGCACAGAATTGAGGTCCATGCTTAAGCACTTACGTGTCAAGATTCATTCAAATTCTCTTTGTTCATGATTATTTTGAACACTTCTTCATACTCCCTTCTCTACAATTGAAGCTGTATGAGGCAATAATTCAAAACTTCAAGTTGTAGAGCCTAGATTTAATATAACAGCATGAGAGATCCATCTCCTTGTGTTTCTGGCCAGTTCATGCTCTACAGGACTGCTTTAGGATAATAATACATCAATGACCAAATCTATTTTTATTGAGCTCATTGTGTTTAGGAGCCTGGTTAAGACCCCTTGTATTCTAAATGAGTAGTTATTGTTAGGTGAAAAGGCATGGATATTATATGTTTTAAAACTGTTAAGTATATTCATGAACTGTTGGGTGTGGTTTATCTTGAAGAAAAAGAAGTGAGCAAAAGGAAGATGGGTATATGAGAGGGAACAAGTAAAATGTTTACTGTTGTGAAAGCATATATCCTCCATTTAGATCAGAACAAGTGTCTTTGCTAGTTATGCTTATAGACTGCATTTTCCGAACTGTAATATATAGTATGTACTCTCTGTATATAGTTTTTCTTCTGATTTGATAGAATATGCCTATGTCCAGTTTGACTCTTAAATCAAATCTTCATGCTACCAAGGTCATATAATTAAAAGAAATGTTTGGTCAGTTTGATTGGTTACACCTTGTACTGTACATATTTTGGATAAGAAGTTGTAAGTAATGTTTCGTGAAACATCCTCTGTTGTCAATCCCTCTACCTTGTTGGTGTCTCCTTGTGACACAGCTTGTATGAGGTTTGTCTAATTCATTTTGTGCTGCCTTGAACATCTACAGGCACACCCATCAGTAGCAATAAGTTACTTTGTGTATGAGTTAAATGGAGATAGCTCTCAAAGCCGAATGAAAGGAAGCCGCAGCTGCATTGTAGCCAGTCGGTGCTGGAGCCATGGACGAGCATGTCATGTTTGAGATTGGTAAATATACTGAAATTTGACAGCTTCTAAGAAATTCTCCACAAATATGGTTAGCTGGCATTCAGTCACCTACTGGGGGAATATTTATGTTTATCCTCTTAACCCATACTATATTGAATCTGGTGGTCCTCTCATGTCAATTCATGTGCATTGTCTGTAAGCAGTAGCGGTATGGCCATAAATGCCCTAGCTTACTGCAATTGGTGGAAATTGGCAAATCTGGTGAAGTGCTGGTTGTAGAAAGATACCTGAATTGCCTGTAGATCAAAGATTTTGGGTTCATAACCTTAGTTTGGATGTGAACAAAGGGAATTCTACTTCATTCTTGACCTTATGCGGATCAAAAAACATGTTGCTGTTGGCATATTGGTCACATTACCATATTTACTAGCCCTGCAGAATAGCTTTTATCTTTTGAAAACTCTGAATTTATGACAGCAAATATATCAAATTGAGCCTTGCCTTTCCATTTTGACAGAGCTATCGGCAATTTGTGTATGTATTGTCAATTTGTCATGCTGGTAATTAAGGCAATCTTGAAACAACCTACTCCCTCTATCAGTAATTGTCTAATATACAATTTTAGGATGTTTGAAAAGGTGTTACCGTTCTTCTGGTTTACTCCCACATTTCCCATGTCTGACTGCCAACACATTGATCTCCTACTATAACCTTAACTCTCTTACAATCTTAGATTGGTATAATGTGACGACTAAGTCTGTACATCGATTATATTTGGTACTGGCTGACCTGGGACATCCCAAAAATTCAGAAAATAACTAATGCACTATGAGATTCAAATCATAATTACGCTACTCTAATATTTTTAATATAGTTTAGTATTGCATCTGCTGTTACATCGATTTGTTCTATTAATTGTACTGGCAACTGAACTTAGCAGCAATATCTCTGATACAAAATTCTAGATAAACCAGAAGACCATAATTAACAATCTGCTCAAAAAATTTTACAAAACTCAATTACTGCATCAGAAACTGGCAGGACTGTCATCCAACTGCTTCTCATCTTCGATATCAACCTCCAGAATCTCAGGAATCCTTTGTTTCAAATAATTTTCAAGCCTAGCCACCACTGTACTTCTCTTATGCCAGAACTTCCCTCTTAATCTGATCTTCACAAATGGGCCATCCAGCTCTGCAAGTTCAACTTGACCTGTAATACCCACTTCCCTGTCGAAAAGTTGAGCCAACTCGACCCGAGCATCAGGCAGGACCATTTCGATATTCTCCTCTGTCATGTCAAGTGGCTGCATTGCTGCAGAAACTGCCACTACCGGAAAACGCCTCTTAGCTTTTCGAACTCCATCGTTTCGAGTCGGGTGTAGACTGAAGCTTAACGTTCTATGAGCTGGTTGGTGTTTCAGGAGTGATGGTGGTATAGAAGTTGTGAGCTTTAGACAGTATTGATTAAAGAGTAGCTTGGCTGCCATTATTTTTGATAGATTTCACTCGTTCTAAACAGCTGAAACTTGTATGGATGTGCTTTTGGTCCCTTATCATCAACTATTGGATATTTGGATATCACTCCACTTGTAACTTATCTTTTGCGCCCCATATTCTGAAATTAATAAGTATAAATATTTTTAAAACAAAATGTTAATAAGTGATCTAATGATTCGTAGGAGTCAACCAACTAATTTAAGTAACTTAACAAGCTACACCGGTTGATTATGTAATCACTAATCAATAGATTCAAACAACAACAAAAAAAATAATCATCCAATACTCACTTTTCTGTGAAGTATTATTCTATTTTTTTTTTTACGAATGACTATTTTTCAATTTTTTTTTTTTTTTAAACCGATACTCTAAGATTATACTGGTATTACTTACAGAGTACTTTGTAAGTTTGTACTTTCCAAATCAAATCTACTAATTTCTCCATTCATAAATAAAATGAAATCAATTATTAAATATGTTTGTACCATTTTATTTATAGACGAGTACAAATATAATGCTTCATCCGTTTCAAAATAATTTTCTTATTTTGACTTTTATGGTCAAACTTTAAAAAATAAATTATATTTAAATGTTATTTTGACTTTTCTGGTCAAAATTTATCATTAATATATATACTTTGTATATATTTATAAAACAAATTTAAACATGTGAGACTTTGTTAGATTCGTCTCAATATGCAGTTCTAATATCAATTTTTTTTATAATTTTTGTTAATAAGAATGTTTTTAAAGATGATACATAAAGTCCTAATGAGTTACCTCTATTCTTTTTTTTACTTGACCTATTTCTTTTATCACGTTTGTCAACGCAAAACTTTAACGATCAATAACTTTAATTCTCCATAAGTAAAAAATATAAAAAAAAAAAGTATATATTATGATAGTACTTATTGAGACAAATAAAAAAAGATCCCACATGAATATGTTTATCCTTACATATTATTCACAAATGACGGTCAAGGAGAGGTGGTGAATAGTGTAAAAGTCAAAGCGAGTTAAGCAAAAAAAACGGAGGAAGTACTAATTAAGCTCAAGATTTAATGAAGAAACAAAAGGGTTATATGTTTGGGTTCTTATCACCGTCTACAAAAGTTGCTTTAGTACTTAATTCCACTTAAAATTTAGGTTGGCACTTGAGCCTTGACCCATAAATGACAAATCTCAATCAAAATAAATAGCCAATTACTATTACAACAAGTTTCCAACTGCTCGCTAATAAAATTTTAGTGTTGGCCAACTAATTAAACCATCTAGTTGATATCACTTGGGTTTCAAACAAGCACAATATGTCAATATGTATCAACTTGTTGGACAAAATATATTAAGAGAGTTGATAAACATAATTAAATAAACCATAGGTGTTGCAACACTCAACGAATTGGTTATTAACTAGATTTACTTTTAATGTTTCCTTCTTCTTTTTTGGATCCTTAAAATGTCTTGATTAAGATTTCATACTAATCTTATACTTGTACATTGGTTAAAAATGTTTTTAAGAATTAAGGCCCCTTTGTTAAGAATAATTTAGCTCTGTAAGTGTTAACATTTGGAATGCATAGGTGTGCTATTGTAAATCATCTTGGATATGAGCATGAGAATGCTTTTGAGACTACTCTAAATCAAGTCTTCAAACCTATTAATAATATAATGGTTTAAGTATGTACTATTTCTAATATAAGGTTGATACAATTTGTATGTTTCTATATTATATCATTTACATTGGTTTGTCAATTTTATCCTTCAATTCCTCTTAAAAATTGTTTTAATTGTTGGAAAAATACACTTTAATAATCTCAAATATAGGCGATTTACTTCTAATAATCCCAACTATGCTATGTGTTTGCCTCCAATGGTCCCAACTGGTTAACACTAAGTCAATGACCTGTTATAACAGGTAACCATGACACGTGATTGGTCCAAAAATTTTAAAAAACATTAAAACATAAATAAACCAAAAAAAATCCTAGCCACCCATTTCCCACCGTGAAACCCTAACCCCCCACCCCCTAACCTCGCTGGACCGGTCGGCCACCCCTTTTTAGCCATCGAAACCAACCGGCCAGCTAACCTCGACCCCCAAAACAGCCCAACCTTGACCCCCTAAAACCACTTGAAGTCACCACCACCACCTGCAGTCACACCTTTGCAACGGTTTTTTGGTCAACGGAGGTGGTGTGACGACGGGCGTGTTCTTTGGCGATGGCTTCGGCGTAGGCGGCAAAGCCCTGGACAAATTCGGTGACATTATCGTCGTCGGAGCCTCGAATACATAGCTTCAACAAATCGAGGGGTCAGGATTGGCTAGGAGGTTGTTTCGGGGGTTGGAGGTGGGTTAAAGGGGGTTGGCCGGCCGGTGTAGGTAGTTAAGGGCGGTGGCCGCCGGTTTCCGGCGAGGTTAAGGGTGGGGGGGGGGGGGTTAAGGTTTGACAGGGGGGATAGGTTGGCTGGGAATTTTGGGATTTTTTTTGTTTTTTTTAATTTTATTTTTCTTTATGTTTTTATTTTATCTTTATTTTATTTTTTTTAATTTGAACCAATAACGTGTTGACACGTGGCTATTAAAAAAAAAAAACTCTTTCAGCAGGTTGCCGGTCATTGTGACCATTGGAGGCAAACTGATAGCATAGTTGGGATTATCATATCACTAATATTTAAAGTCGGTCTCGCAGCCAGGCCACGAAACAGCGACACTTGGCATTCCATTTTTTCGCCAAGTGTCGCGCCACGTAGGCAAAAAATAGATATTATTGTGATTAGATTAGTGTCACGTTAGATTAAATTGGATAGATTTGTTTAGGATAAAAAAAAGTATACATAAAATAATTTATAATTCTTTTGAAAAATATTTATCTTTTTATTGACATTAGAAGTTTATTTATAGCAACACACCACATATTATTAATATGAATATCCAACTAACAATAGAATTTTACTCCTATACGAATAAGCAAGTAATTATAATTATAAATATGGCCATAAATCATTTTTTTTAGTCTATCATTGATTTTCCATTAAGCTTTTGAATCAGGTATTCTTCATATTCGGTTGTAATATTTTTGTGTATGTTTTTTTTTTTTTTTTGTGTGTTTATGAAATTAAAGAAGTAAAAAACTATTAAAATTAGAAAAAAAAAACATAAATTGTACAATACAAGAGAATCTTGAAGGGTATTCAGATCAATGTAAGCAAGGTCTTAGAACTTTACGGGTTTTCCGCTTAATAAGTGTTTCAATATTTTTTGTTGTAGGCTAATCATATTATATATTTTTTTTTTCCAGCTTATTTTAAGAAGAATGGAAGCAAAAAAAGTAAAAGGTACCACTAAATTTAATACTACAATTAGTTTTCGTTTGCTTTTTCATGTTAACTAAACTTTCTCAATTTATATTTACAACAAAATTATGTTCTAACCATTCACAGGCATAGAACATCACATGAACAAGTAAATTTTAATTTGATCAAGGATTTATAAATCAATGACGACAAACAAGACTAGATTTTGAAAGTAAGGATCACTAGATTATGGAAAGTATTAAACCCAAAGAGGAACAATCATCAGTTTATGGGAATTGGACTTAAGAACAAAGGAGGTTAATGAAGGGTATATCATATACAAGAAGGTAAGAAAAATAAATGAAAGATAAAGGCATAAATCATCAGACCAAAAGTGACTGAACAAGAAAAATGAAAGAAGTACTCTATTTAATTAATAATAATAATAATAATAATAATAATAATAATAATAATAATAATATTTTTTAATCCCAACTTTCACCAATTTATTTTCATTAATCTCAACTTTGGATTATTCCTCAATAATCTCAACTTTAAGGTGGTCTATCATTCTTCATACCCAACCGATAACTAAACCTGTTGTATCAGGTTACTTGACACATGTCAAGTCCTGATTGGTCCAAAAATTTTAAAAAAAATAAAAATAAATAAATAACAAAAAAAAAACCAAAAATCACAAAAACCAGCCAGCCACCGCAGCCCCACCGCCTCCTCCCTAGCCCCCACCGGAAACCACCATCTCCCTCCCTAATCCCACCGAAAACCACCAAATTCCCCCGAAACCATCTGCAGCTTCACTCCCTTTCTTCGAAACCACCCGCAGCCTCACTCTCTTCCCCCAAAACCACTCACAGCCCCCACCTTCTTCTCTTGAAACCACCATCAAGCCACCATTTTCACCCCTAACTTCTCCCGAAACCATTGAAACTCCAGCCCCCTTCGCCAAAACCCATTTCCCTCCAAACACTCGAATCCACCAAAACCACCAACGACAGGCCTCCCAACCCCAAAACCACCAGCCATCGACACAGCAATTGAATTCGACCTCCAATAACAGACGCAGGGGAGGTTGGGGAATTTCGCTAGCGGATCTAGGCGGAAAAGAGATAAGGAGGGAGGTTGGGGTGGTTTCACGAGCGGGCAAGAAAGTGGGAGGGTGGTGGTTTCGCGCATGGTAGGGGGTTGGTTTGAGGCGATTTCGAGGGTGGGGCTGGGGAAGGTGGTTGTTTTCGTCAGAGTGGAAGGGGAAAGGGGAGGTTTCTGGCAAGGTGGTGGCGGATTTCGGCTGGGCTAGGGGGATAGGGGTGGTTGGTAGGGAGTAGAGGATTTTTTTTTTTTTTTTTGAATTTTTCAGTTTTTGAATTTTTAATTTTTTTGTTTTTTCTTAATTTATTTGATTTTATTTATTTTTTTAATTTATTGAAGCAATTAACATGGGACACGTGTCAAATAATTTTTTAAAATTTTTTTTAACCCTTTCATCAGGTTACCGGTTTTTGGGATTGAATAATGATAGGCCACCTTAAAGTTGGGATTAAAAAACAGTATTAATCCTAATAATAATAATAATAATAATAATAATAATAATAATAATAATAATTGTTGTTGTTGTTGTTGTTGTTGTTGTTGTTGTTGTTGTTGGTATTGTTATTATTGTTATTGTTATTGTTATTATTGTTATTATTATTATTGTTGTTGTTGTTGTTGTTGTTGTTGTTGTTGTTGTTATTGTTATTATTGTTATTATTGTTATTATTTTATTATTATTATTATTATTATTATTATCTCAAAAACAGACAAAGTTATACAACCTACAATAAATTAGTGGGAAGCCGAGATACAATCTGGGCTCCCACTCCTCTAGCTATAGCAAAGCCTACCCTAGTGAAGACATAAGCTGCAGCACGAGCCCCAATGTCTTGCGTCGTCGAGAACCTCTGAACCCGCTTCAGCAACGCAACAGCCTCCTTCTCTAATTCCCCAAGTGAAGAAAAGGAGAAGGGAATGAAACCATAACCAATCAGCCGACAACAAGCTTCATACTTCACCCGCTTTTGATGAGCCGCATCAGCCACAACCTGCCCAAGGACAAAGTCGGATAGCCCTGGTTGTGTCAAAGGAGAAGACCCTGTTAAGTCCACACAAACATCGCGACCACGATCCCAGGAATAAAGTAACACATCAGCAGGTCTAAGGGCCCCGTCATTCCCTCCAGATAACCCTATGTCAACCTCCTTTCTTGACGAAATCCCAGATCTGTAGCAGATATCAACAAGGGTATCCCGGATAACATTATGCCGATGTTTATTACCCACAATACCAACACACGACACCGCGTGATCACCGAAAATATTCCCAGTAAAAACCCGAGAACAAGCAGAGCACGGCGTCGAGATAGAGAACAATGGAACACCCATCCTGTAGCACAACACACATCGGTAGGTCTTTGGGTTCATCGTCTGACCCAACCCAGAAATAGGGACTGCCCGAAGCCAAGTAGAGGTGTGATCTCCCTGCTGCGGTTTCCACAATGTTGATTGCTGAGGAGACAAAGAATAGGCGGATTCTGCAGAAACGGTAACCTTCGTGAAATATATATCTGCCAATTTCTTCATGAGTTTAGGGGCGGCGACCTCACTAGGATTACTCATAATGTCATACTCCACTATTCCATTAAATAGACACAACACATCTCCAAAGGCTCGTCTAAGACCAACAATGCCAGCATTCCGTAAAAGCTGTGTCTGCAACCCAGCAGACTATAACCGAGAAGCAAGAAAAGCATAATGACGAACATCACCTGTGGAATATACCCCAAGCCCTCTAAACGCAAATGGTAAGGTGGCAAGTCGCCATTGCCAATCGCCAAACCCAGGCCCCGAAGCAGTAACAATACGTTCCAAGGAAGATCGAAGAGCCCCGTCGAATGTGCGCTGAGCCGTCTCAAAAGTACTAGAAGGACAAGTACGCAATGCAAAGTAGAGTTTAGAAACTCCGGTACATGCCCTAAGTAACAATAGCTCACGCTAAGGATCATCAAGCTAAGCAACCTTATCCATAAGCGCAATGGTCTTGGTCACCCTCTGCAACACAAGCTCTCCACCAAAACCGGAATCGGAACTAGCAGGACCACCAAGCAACTTAACACCTCGCAAAGGTCGAGCAATATTGGGCGGAAAAACACCCACAAGCTTACTTCGAGGGTCTTCTGTAGGCCAGAAAATTTCAGTTTTTTCCACATTAAGAAGTAACCCAAAACGAGGCCCTTCCTTCATAATCAAATGCAGAACCTTCCCCACCACCAAAGTCTCACCAATAACAGTGTCGTCATCCAAATACCACGCATGAAGACATAAGTCAAAAGCATCTTTGATTTTACAAACCAGGGGCTGTAAAACCAAAGCAAAAAGTAGAGGACCAAGGGGATCACCCTGCTGCACTCCTTGACACGACCATAAGGATTGGTCCCCATAATACAACCTGGCTGGATTAGAATAGAAGAATTCAACCCATCGCGAAATGCCGGGACAACGACGACGAACTTCACGCAACATGACCGTACGATCAACAAGATTGAAGGCATTTTGGAAATCCACCAACAACATAGAAAAACCAACATCAGAACCACGGTCCTCAATCAACCGATTCACAGCATGAAGAATGGCCTCACCACCTGAAGAAACCCCAACGCCAAATTGAAGACCAGCAAAGTAACTTCCTAAATATTGGCCAACCATAACAGCACCCACCTTCGAAACCAGACGCCGCCAAATAGTACCCACAGCTATAGGACGAATACCACCACCGGGCTTGACAAGCGGGGTAAGAGGAGCACTAGCAATATACTCTCCTAGTTCCATAGGACACTTTCTAGCTAGAAAGAGATTAACCACCGCGGAAATAGAGTCAACTAACTCATCTAATATAGCCACAGCCTATGATGCACGGACACGCCTGCCAAGTGGCGTGTCCGAGTCGACACGCGTGTCGGACACGGACACGCGTGGGACACGGGGGGATACGTCTTGGACACGCGAAAATCCGTGTCCGTTTTTTTTTTTTGAATTTCTTCTGTACGGACACGGTCCGTGTCTCACCCAGACACGGTCCGTTTTGTGATGGACACGCAATTACGGCTTTACAAGCCCAACTTCCTCCATTCTCTCTGACTCTCTCACATTCTCAATTCCTCCATTCACAATTCACAAACCTACTGCCTTACTCAAGCTCCCTGAGTCCCAGACCGTCAGCCACTCACCGTCGCGCCGATAACCGCCGTCGCTTCACCTGCTGCTGCTGGTCCAGACCGTCACTCAGTTCACCGTCGCTTCGTCGCCTACAACTTACTCTCACAGAGACACAGACTTCACTCGCCGCTCGTTGTTCGTCCTCAGCCACCATCCCAGTGTCGCCAGCCACCAGTCCACCAGACCACCACCAGGTAACTCGCTCAACCTAGGTTTCAGGCCGTGGCTTGACTGGCTTCTGTACTTTGTTTTTTTTTTTAAATTCAATTAATTCAGTCGCTAACTCGCTCAACCTAGGTTTCAGGCTGTCGTTGTTCGTCCTCAGCCACCAGTCCACCACCCAGTACCGTCCGTCGCCACTCGCCAGCCACCAGTCCACCACCAGGTAAGGGTTATGTGACTTCTGTCTTCTGTACTTTGTTTTCTGAAATTCAATTGCTGAATGCTGATGTTAATTGTGAGGTGGAGCCGTGGAGGCAGTATCACTGTAATTCGCAATTGTTAATTGTTAAATGTGATGTTAATTGTTAATTGTGATGTTAATTGTGAGATGGGTTCAGCTGTCAAATTGTATTGTGCCCTGGTTGCTGAAATTGTATTGTATTGTTGACTCGCTGACTTGCTGGTTGCTGAAATTGTATTGCTGAGTTGCTGACTTGCTGGTTGCTGAAATTGTATTGCTGACTTGCTGGTTGCTGAAATTGTATTGTTGTGTTGCTCACTTTGCTGTGTTGTCTTGCTGAAATGTGCTGTTGTGTTGCTGAAATTGTCAGGAATGTCTTCTAGTTCCTCTGCTTCATGCAATGTCAGTGGTAGTAGTAATTCATCTGAGTCAATGAAAGACCTCTACCCTTTGTGGAAGTTTGTTGTTAAGGGTGATAAAATATAGGGTGGTGGAGGAAATTATAATTGGAAATGTAACTTTTGCGGCGAAGTTAAAAATGGTTCATACACTAGAGTGAAAGCTCATTTGCTAGGTGAACAAGGGAAAGGGATTCAAACTTGTAATAAAGTGAAAATTGATGACCTTGCTAAACTAAGATCGCTTCATCGTGAATCCGAGGATTATAAAAAATCTTTGTTACCAAAAGTTCCACCTTTTTCAAATGAACCCATATCTTCTCACACATCAACTGAAGCTACATCAATGAGACTAGGTTCATTTGATAATGTAAAGAAGAGGAAATCAAAAAATACAATTTCCGATGCTTTTAATGTGAAATCTCGTGACCACTTGGATTCTGAAATTGCTAGAATGTTTTACACAGGGGGGTTGCCTTTTAATCTTGCTAGAAACCCTTACTATGTTAGTTCATATACAATGGCTGCCAATTCTAATCTCTCTGGTTATAAGCCTCCCGGATACAACAAACTTAAAACAACTTTGCTTTGTAAAGAGACAGAAAATGTGGATAGGTTATTACAACCTATGAAAGCCACATGGAAAACAAAAGGTGTTAGCATTATTAGTGATGGGTGGAGTGATCCACAAAGAAGGCCTTTGATTAACATTATGATTGCTTCTGAAACGGGTCCTATGTTTATGAAAGCTATTGATTGCTCGGGTGAGATTAAGGACAAAGATTTCATTGCTACCTTACTAAGTGAGGTGATTGATGAAATTGGAGATCAAAATGTTGTTCAAATAATCACAGATAATGCAAGTAATTGTAAGGCTGCAGGGGAATTGGTTGAGGGTAGGTATCCTCATATATATTGGACACCATGTGTTGTTCATACACTTAATCTTGCAATGAAAAGCATCTGTGCAGCTAAGAATGTGTTGAATAATTTTGAAGTATATTATGAATGTCATTGGATAACGGAAGTTCATGCAGATGCCTTGTTCATTAAAAATTAAATAATGAATCATTCGATGAGGCTTTCAATGTTCAATAAGTTTTCGCCATTAAAACTACTTTGCATTGCCGACACTCGTTTTGCTTCAATTGTGTGCATGCTTAAAAGGTTGAAACTCCTTAAAACATCACTTCAATCAATGGTTATTAGTGAGAATTGGTCCTTATACAAGGATGATCGACGCGGGCAAGCCTCACATGTAAGGGAAAAGATTTTGGATGAAATATGGTGGGAAAAAGTTGATTACATTCTTGATTTTACACGCCCAATCTATGAGATGATTAGGGTTTGTGACACCGACAAATCTTCCTTGCATTTGGTTTATGAAAGATGGGACATTATGGTTCAAAAGGTGAAAGATGCCATCTACAAGAAAGAGGGTAAACTAGATTATGAACAATCTACCTTCTTTAATGTAGTTAAAGGGATTCTTAGTAGTCGTTGGAGTAAGGGTAGTACTCCACTTCATTCATTAGCACATTCTTTGAATCCAAGGTAAGTTTTACTTATTTAATTCATCTTTATTTATTTTTCCTTGTTTTTTATTTAATTTCTTATGGCTATTCTTATTTTGTTGTTAAAGATTTTACACGGAAGAATGGCTTAATGAGGTCCCGGGACGAGTTGCTCCAAATGCCGACAATGAAATTTCCACACAAAGATTACAATGCTTTCGAAGGATTTTCCAAAGTCCCGATGAAAGATTCAAGATCAACACGGAATTTGCAATATTCTCACAAAAATCAGAGGGGATCTTTCTCAACATTGATTGCATGCATGATATGGCTTTGATGGATGCTAAAAATTGGTGGGCAACTTATGGTTCCCAAGTGCCTATGCTTCAAGGTTTGGCTTATAAGCTATTAGGTCAACCTTCTTCCTCTTCTTGTAGTGAAAGGAATTGGAGCACCTATAAGTTTATTCATTCTTGCACTAGAAATAAGCTTACTCCTAAACGTGCTCAAGACTTGGTATACATTCATAACAACCTTCGATTACTTTCTAGGAGAAGTGAAGAATACACAAAGGGGAGATCTAAGTTGTGGGATGTGGGTGGAGATGAGCATGACAACCTAGGAGAGGTTGGTATTCTAGAGATGGCCGAGCTCTCACTTGATGAACCCGAGATGGAGAATATGATTTTTGATGATGTACTTGGTGATGGTGAAGAATGAAACTATTAGTACTTTTGTTTATTTTATTTATGATTTGTAAAACTATTATTAAGACATGTATTTGGTTTGATGGTTTCTTGATATGTATGAGACTACGTTCGTACACTTTGTTTATTTACTTGTTTTAACAAAATTGTGTGTTTTGAGGCTAATTATTTAGTGTTTTATTGAATAGGTTGTCAAATTCTCGTTTTTTTGATATATTATATGCCTTGTTATATGCCGTACCCGTGTCCCCTATTTCAGGATTGTCGTTTTCCCGTGTCCGTGTCCGTGTCCGTGTCCGTGTCCGTGTCCGTGTCGGCATCCGTGCAACATAGGCCACAGCAGCACCACTCAAGCAATCCAGAAGGTGTTGAGCACGTAAACCGTCCCTACCACATGATGTGCCACGTGGAAAACTCTTAATCCAGTCCAAAACAAAAGCAGAAGTAGTAACGAGATGAAGGTCATCAACAGGTATATCAGGCAAGGATGGAGCTGGAGAAGTAGGGTGTTTAGACTGTAAATCCGCGAGAGTGGCGTCATTATAAGGAGCAACGTCTGAAGAAGAAAGAACCCGGACTGCAGCAGTGTAATGGCCGTCACAAATCTTCCTACGACATTGCTTGATATTACGGTCCTCCAAATCAAGGTCCTCATCACCCACCACTGAAAAAGTAGGAGAATCCTCTGCCAAAGTATCCCTCACAAGCTGCAAATTACCACCTGGTGCACTCCAAGAACAAATAGCACGGGAAATACTCTCTTCTTGATGCCGACGTTTTACTTAAGACCTAGACTCAGAGCTGCTCCGCGGGCGAAAGGTTTTAAGGGTGCAAAGAGGTAACACCAAGAAAGAGACCCAACTAGAAATATCATCAGGCCTAGAAATCACCTTATTAAGAGCACCTTTCAGAACCCGAGAAAAACCCAAACGACACTTAGGAGGTATAGACTTGACAGTACGAAACCCCTTGGAGAACAAACGATCAAGAAGAGCCACATCAAAACCGAAATGTTGATCTTGCACCAAACAACCGATGTGCCCGAGCTGAGCCGAAGAAGAGGGAGCTTGCGGCTTGGAGAAACCATGAAGCACAAATCGAACAACACCATCTCCTTCATCCAGGGGTGATACAATCTCACTCGGACCATGACGACACTTAGCCCGATGCGTATGCGTTTTGTAGCAAACCAGCAAACCCCACATAACCAAATCCCCATACGCGAAAAAGTAACTTCAGCCTTAGTATAAACCACCAAATTAGAAGTAAGAGTATTTCGAGTGACATCCCGCGCACCAATACAAAAATGACGATCACAAAGATGTTTGTTAAGAGAACTTCTACTAAGGCCATTGCCACGTCCATCTTGACAACCACTAAGACCCACAAAAGGGCAATGAAACTTCAAACGGGCAGCCGAAATATCTATACACAGCCACACCCAAAAACTACAGCATAAAACAGCCGCAAGAAACCAAAAAAACACGCAAACCTGCACCAAAAATACACCCGAAATCATCGAGAAATGGCTCAAATAAACCACAGCCTCACCACTGCCTGCAACAACCTCACCACTGTCTGCAACAACAGCCTCACCACAGCCTTTAACAACCACAAAAAAAAAACACCCAAAACGCACTAGAACAACTGGCCACAAATAGACCAGAAACACCAGCCCACAACCAGACCTAAACCATAGCCAAAACGCAAGCAAACTGACCTGAATTACGCCAGAAATTGCACCAAAAACAGCACCCAAAAGCACTCGAAACTGCACCAGAAATTGCTGCGATAAAACGCAGCCTAAAACACGCTCAAAAACAGCCTGAAAATCGCCACAAAAAGACCAGAATTCGCCTGAAAACAGCCCCGAAAACCTGCCCGAAAATAGCCCCAAAATCGCTCGAAAAAACACCCTCAAAGTCGTTGGAGAAGCTGCCTTAAAGCCGCCTGAAAACCGACTACAAGACTGCAAAAATGTAGCCCGAACCCTCCTGATAATCACCCAAAAACTGCACCGAAATAGCGTTGAGAGGACCTGAATTTTCGCCTGATTTGATTGCACACCAACCAAGAGCCCTGTCCCTGACATAACCGCACCTAAAGCTGCCGGAAAATGAGCGTGGAAGCCGTTGACGTCCCCTGTCCCCTGCCCTAATCGCCCTAATCTCCCTCAGAAAAGGTATTATTATTATTATTATTATTATTATTATTATTATTATTATTATTATTATTATTATTATTATTATACAAGACCTGCCAACAAATAAGTATACTCTTTAAAATGGGTAGTCGGGGCAACGCCCGGGGCACGTACTAATTAGATAACAAACTTTAGTTGGGATTATTAAAAGTAAATCGCCCGTAATTGAGATTATTAAAGTGTATTTTTTCTTAATTGTTTTGTCACAGTATCTTATCGATTTTAATTTTTCTATATATTTTTCTGTAATATGTTCTCGTACAAGTTACCCGTTAAGGCTTTAAAAAGCTTAATTCTTAATATCGTCGCAATATACAAAAAACAAAGAGTAGAAGAATAAATTTGTACACTATCACGACTACTTTCCAATTGCTACTGTCAATTTAAGTTTTAAATGTTGGCTCACTAAACCGATCATTTTATTGTACTTTCAAAGAGGCACATGAATCAATTAATAAAACTTGGCAACATGCTTCTTCAAGAAGACTACAATTACTATCGCCATCATTTAGTTGTTGCATTATATATTTCTAAATTGGCCTGTATTGCCACTTTTGCTAAGAGTTGAAAAACACAAACATGAAAAAACTTTGATGAACTTCCCATTTTAAAACGAGTTATCACACCACTTAATATAAGATGGGTATGAATTTCACTAATATAAGTAGCACTAAATTAAGTCCCGTGTCACGCACGGTTTTTACAAAATTTTATAACGAATTATAATATTAATTCAAAATCTACTAAAAAATAATCCTCATATTTTTAAATGAAATTGAAAAAGTTTGAATCTTAATTTATACCCAAAATTGAGCCTCAAATTCGGATTAGGCCAAACGGTGAATCAGGTAGAACACCAAAAAAAAAGTAAAAGATATAGAATAATATTTTATACAATAAAATTATGGAAAATATTAGAGGTGATCATTGGGCGGGTCGGGCCGGGCCGAAGCTAAAAAAATTTGCCCACTTCTCGGGCCGAGCCAAGCTTCGGGCCGAATTTTTTGTGCCCAAACCCGCCCAAAGTGGTCGGGCCGTGCGAGCTTTTCGGGCCATTTTCGGGCCGAGCCTAAAAAATCAACTAAATATGCTTTAAAACGCATTCCCAAACCCGTCCAAAAAAATAAAAAATTCGGGCCGGGCCCAACCCGATTTCGGGCCGAAAATTTCTGCCCAAAGCCCGCCCAAAATCGGGCCGGGCCATACTTGATCAGGTCTAGAAAATATGTGAATGTTTTGTTAGGAAGTGAATCACAATTATATGATTTGGTGAATAACTTTTTTAAGAAAGTGAATAACAATTATATAAAAAAGTGATTTTTTTTTTAGGAAGTGAATAAAAAAAACAAAGAAAAAAAGTTTTGGAGGGAAAAAATAGCACCAAAAAGTGACACGTGTCATTCTTGATGTCTGTTTTAGTAATTGTTTCGGGTGAAAACAATGGGACCTTGCCGAAGGTCCGCTGAAATGGAGAAGACTGGATTCGGTCCAAGTTGTGTTGGGCCGAAGGTTTCCTGCACAGTGAACACACGTAAACTAGCCTCGGGGGTGTTTCCGAGGAAGGCCCCTCCGATGCTAAAGTCAGTACAATGTGTAAAAGGAAGACACTATGCAAGAGAGTTTGTAGCTTGAGGCTTTTGTGGAATATTTCTGAATGCAAGAATGAGCATATGAATTGGAATATGAATATGAACGTGAATCCATGAATGTGTCAATATGATGGCTTTTATACCTCATCATATATGGTGAGGTTGGGCCTTAGCCCAATTGGCATGCTTTGTGGGCTGACCTTTGACTTTTGTGCAATTGGAGAGTTGAACCTTGACCTTGGGCTTTTAATTGGATCATTTAGTGCTTAGGCCCAATTTTGACTAAATTGGACCCAAACAACTTGCCCCCCAGACCCGATTTGGAAGGATGACGGGTCGGGTTTGATTTAATTCAGAAAAGGAGGGAAGTAAATGATTTAATTGATCCAAAAATTTGAATTTAAACCGTAATTAATGAGATAACAACGGTTAATGATTGCGGAAGTTGGACGGATAATGGGCAGTTTAATCACAAGATCATGTGTTTAATGGTTACTTAGTGGGTATTTAAGAGAAATTAAAGCACAAACTCTTCGTATCCCGTACCTGGAGATATAAACAGAGGCGCGTCATTCTCCTCACTTATTCACCAACACAAACCCAGAATTCTTCGAGAGAGAAACCAAGAACCCGCATCAAAACTTCGCAAATTCCCCGAGCATTGAGCTTAGAAACTGAGACTTGCCACTACGAATTCGTAAATCGGCAACTTTCGCTTCAGATTAAGGTAAATTCCTTTGATTTCAGTTTATTTTTCTTCGAATTCGAACTCCTTCCCCTTTTCTTTTGACTTTTCTCTTCGAAATAATCAATGGCAAGAGGAGTTAGAGGTAGAGCCCGTGCTCCAAGAAGAGCAAGGCCGATTCCCGATCCTAGGAACAGGATTGGGACCTGGAATGGTCAAAGGCCGGAGTCTGACCCTGCTGAAGGGATTAGGGCGACTCCCCTTTCCTCGGCTCCTCCTCAAAGAACGGATGAGCCGAGCGCTTCTGGACGGGATGATGAAGTTCCCGCTGTACTTTGGGATATCCTCCCTGGGTTTTCAGAATGGGAGAATGCCGAAGTCGTTTCGGCCATGATAAAGAATCGCCCCTACTCATGGTGGGTAGAGAACGCCGATCAATATCGATTTGCCGAGAAAATTGAGTTGCATTACGGCATTTTTGAAGCTGATGGATATTGGTGCCGAATGCCCTCAGCATCCGATAGAATCCATCGTCCACCCCCGGGGTATGTGGGGGTGTACACGAGACAGCTTCAGTACGGGCTGAGGTTCCCTTTGGACGTTTTCGTCCGAGACTTGCTGATCCATTACAACATCTCCCTATGTCAGCTAACCCCCACCAGCATCCGAAGGGTGATGACATACCTATGGGTCTGCAAGTTCTTCAAGTACGTGCCGAACCTGCACTGCTTCAGAAAGCTCCATCGGCTAGTGCCAAATATTCAAAGTGGGCACGGAAGCCATGGCTCTGGGTGGTACCGGATTGAGTCCCGGCCCCAATAC